TTCCCGCGCTTCCGCTCGTTCCGAATCGTGCTCCCGCTGCAGCGCTGGCGTCATCATTTCGAGTGCCATGCCCCGGCATGGTTTTCGGTCCTTCCAAATGGGCCCCCAAATCTAGAAAATGACATCCCGAAGAAACCATCAGAAGTGACTACACATTCGGAGTCGATTCGTTGATTTTTTGTGCCGCAGAAGCACCCCCCCACTTTGGGGCGTCGCCACGCCATTCCATGTCATGCTATGCGTTGAGATTCGACACCATGCGATGCCATGTAATGCTACGCCATGCTACGACATCCGATTGCGCGAATAGAGAGGAGATCTACGCCATGGTAAAGGGATGGGAGGGAGGGGTAGGACGTCAGATATGACGCGAGCGCACCTAGCTTGTCCTCCTCCCCCTCCTCCTCCTCCTCCTCCTCCTCCTCCTCCTCCTCCTTCTCCTTCTCCTCCTTCTCCTCCTCCTCCGCCTCCTCCTCCTCCTCCCTTCCTCCTTCTCATCCTCCTCCTCTTCCTCCTCATCCTTTTTCTTTGCCTAACCATAGGGGCTACGCGCCCGTGGCGTCAGCTGGCCCGCACCCAGCCACGGCAAGGGCCTGGCGCGGGAGCTCGGGAAGTCCAGGCCTCTGGCCAGCAGCACAGCACAGTAGCGGACATAAGAAAAACAAGCCGCCCACTTCCCCAAAACCTCCTCCTGCTCCTTCTCCTCCTCCTCCTCTCCCTCCTCCTTCTCCCCGTCTTCCTCCTCCTCCTCCTCCTCTTCCTCGTCCTCGTCCTCCTCCTCCTCCTCCTTCTCCTCCTCCTCCTCCTCCTTCTCCTCCTCCTCCTCCTCCTCCTCGTCCTCCTCCTCCTCCTCCTCCTCCTCCTCCCCCCCCCACCCCTTTCCCCCCCACTGCCTCTCGTCATACTGCTCCGTGCCCCTCGCCAAGACCTCCGGCACAAGCAATTTTTCGGAGCGTGGACCCTCCGAAGGTCCGGGCCCTTTCCTCACGACCAGCTGTTCATCCCGAGTCGCTTTTTGACGGTCCCTGGGCCCAACGAGGGCCTCCAAATGCCAGAAAACAGCGCAAAGCCTCCCGTCATGGTTTCTTCACGACGAGAGGTGGGGGTCCTTCTCGTCGTCCTCGTCCTCCTCCCTCCTTATCCTCGTCGTCCTCGTCCTCGTCGTCCTCGTCTCCCTCCTTCTCCTCGTCGTCCTCGTCGAACTCGTTGTTCTCCTCGTCGTCCTCGTGGGGATCGTCGTTCCCATCCTCTCCCTCGTCGTCATCCTCGTCGTCGTCCTTCTCCTCGTCCTTCTCGTCCTCCTCCCTCCTCCGTCCGGCAGGCCTCCCGGCGCGCCGCCAGGGCCGCCTCGAGCTCCTCGCACTCGCGCCGCGCAGCGCGGACGCGGGCCTGCGTCTCGTCCAGGCGCTCCGTGAGGCCTTTCTCTCAGCAGGGAAAAGGGGGACAAGGAGGAGGGGGGAAGGCCAGGGTGTTTTTTTTGTTTGACCTCCGCGTCCTTAACCACATGAGCATCCATGGGAAAACGCACTGCATATTACAAAAGTGCCTAATGCCCCGCAGCTGCGGATAAGAGAGAGGGTGCTTGGCGGCGCTCTTAGAAACCACGGAGCGCTCGCTGCTAGCGGGATTTGAACCGAAACCGCTACGGACACACCGCCCCTCTTCGGTGAGCCCCCCAAGCGTGCCAGCGCGGTCCCTCAGCGTGGCCTCCCAGCGTGGCCTCCAAGCGTGGCCTCCCAGCGTGGCCTCCCAGCGTGGCCTCCAAGCGTGGCCTCCCAGCATGGCCCCCCAATGTGGCCTCAAAGCGTGGCCTTCCAGCGTGGCCTCCTGGCGTGGCCGCTGGAGAGACGACCCCAAGACGGACGAACGCGAGCAGAGACGGAGTAAGACCGCTCGGACACCCTCCCTCTGACAAGGTTGTGCACCCAGTGAGCTGACAGCTAGACAGACAGACGGACGATAATGGAAGACCGTCACAGCCAATGCTCGACCTCCGCTGTGGGGGCAAGCGCCGATCGGCTGAAAGGTTTGATGGCCACTCTGGACGGAAGAGGACATGCGAGACAAGCTGACAGGATGACAATGTTTCGCCACCCAGGGGGTACCATATTTAACAGTTCGAGCACGTTGCCCACTGACGCAATGATATGCCTACGCTTGAACTTGGGATGTCTGCCACGACAGAGCTGGCGCCAGGTAGTGCTGGCATGACAAGAAAGCATCTACGCACATCCATAACAACATGTTCTGATCATGTCAGCAATCGGATGATCTTTTCACCGAGTGCAGATGGATACAGCCAGGCCGTCAGAACAGAAGAATTCTATGATTTTTTTTTGTTTTGACTTTATGCCCCAGGCTCTGAGGCACACTGGGGCCTGCTCGCGCACACTCCAGGAGGAAGGCTCCTGCGGGGTCCTTTTGCCGACCAGGCCTGGAGCACGCCTCCACATCCCTGACCATCTCCTCCAGGCGTGTGAGGGCTCGGGGGGTCGTGGGAAGAGAGGATCATATAAGGGAACGTCGAAAGACTGAGTTGGCCACAATGGAAGGAGACTGGCCGCCAGGCTACAATAAGCACCGGAAGCAGCAACAAGCTTGTCAACATGCTGCAACAGCCTACAGGGCACGACGGGAGAAACTGGACCCCCCTTGCTCGGCCCCGATGTCCGCCCTCGCAGCCCCTCTGCCAAAGGACCTCCCGTGCAAGGAGGTGTCGTGTTCCCCAATCAGAGCTTGCCTCCGTAGGGGTCCTAACGGATTCATATGGTTAGGTTAGGTTTGTCGCCGATTTTCGCTGCACGCCCGGGTGCCCGGGGGTGCCCGGGGCCCGGGTGCCCAGGGGGTGCCGGGGGGTGCCTGGGTGCCCGGGCGTGCCTGGGGGTGCCGGGGGGTGCCCGGGGGTGCCCAGGGATACCCTTTAGCCCTATAGCCCTAAGCCCTATAGCCCATAGCCCAACAGCCCAATAGCCCTACAACTCTATAGCCCTATAGCTCTATAGCCCTATAGCTCAATAGCCCTACAGCCCTATAGCCCCCTAGCCCTATAGCCCTAATTGTGTTTTTTCACCGCTATCATTAGTGGTTGTTTTTTTGTGATACAAAAACACAAAGAGTTATAACATAGTGTTCGGGGCCTTCGCCTTTGACTAAGGGTTCACTTGTACCACCTTCAAAACAACTTGCATGCATGATCATGCCGAAATTCGCTCTCCTGCGCGGATATGGGCAAGGCGGGGGGGGGGAGGGCGAGGGGGGGAACATCTTGTATTCGGACATGGGTTAGCGTGGGGGGAGGAGGGCGAGGTGGAGGAGGAGGAGGAAGACGAGAGGAAAGGGGAGAAGGGTGAGGAGGAGGGGGAGGAGGTGCACCGGCGATTCTTGAACAAATCTACAAGCACATCCCTCTGCGCTTGTTGAGTTTCTCGGCCTGGAACGCCTCAAGACTCCTGAGGGTCCACGATGCGTTTCCGTGGGGAAGCGTTTCCGTGGGGAAGCCCGCTGGCTGGCCTGCTGCTCACCTGTACGCGCCCGCTGCAAGAGGCTGGCAGGAGGAGGCGCGCGAGGCCTGAGCGCGACCGAGTCGGAAACGCAGGCCGAGGCATAGAGGTTAGCAGCCTGGCTGCTCGTGCAGCAGGCCACTCTTCCTCGCCATGACGACGGCAAAAAACACAATCATCAAGCGAGGGGACAGTACACGGAGGGAGGCCATCCTATTTTTGCAGCCACTGCCCCTGCCAGGCGGCAAGGGCCAGCGACTCGACAGGCCTCCCTCCCGGCTGGCAGGAGGAGGAGGAGGAGGAGAAGGAGGAGGAGGAGGAGGAGGAGGAGGACGAGGAGGAGAAGGATGAGGAAGAGGAGGAGGAAGAGGACTCCCCAGGTGACTGCGAATTGTGCAACTGTCGACACCTTCGTGGGCACCTGGGAAGAACGGAGAAGACGGGGAGTAAACGGACACAGTTGAAACATCGCAGCTCCCTGGGTGGCTGCGAAGAGTGTAGCCGTCGCCAATTTCGTGGGCTCCTGGGAGGCACGACGGAGTCGGGGAGACAACGGACCATCTGAAACCTCGCAGCTCCCTGGGTGGCTGCGAAATGTGCAAGTGTCGCCACTTTCGTGGGCTCCTGGGAGGCACGGCGGAGTCGGGGAGTAAACGGGCCCATTTGAAACCTCACAGCCCCCCTTGTGGCTGCGAACTGTGCAGCTGTCGCTGCTTTGATGGCACTTGGGAGGCACGGCGGAACCGGGGTGTAAACTGACCATTTGAAGCCTCGCAGCTCCCCAAGTGGCTGCGAAGTGCGCAACTGTCGCCACCTTCTCTCGTGGGCTCCTGGTAGGCACGGCGGAGCCGGGGAGTAAACGGACCATTGCTCCCTGGGTGGCTGCAAAATCTCCAACTTTCGCCACTTCCGTGGGGTCCTACATGCATGGCGGGGTCGGACAGTAAACAACGCATTTGAAAATTTGTAGCTCCATCGGGGGCTGCGTACAATGCAAATGTCGCCACTTTCATCGGCTCCCAGGAGGCACGGCCCAGGCACGGCGGAATCGGGGAGTAAACGGGCCCATTTGAAATGCCGCAGCTCCCTGGGAAGTTGCGAACTGCGCAACAGTCGCTACTTTCGTGGGCTCCTGGGAAGTACGGAGAAAACGGGGAGTGAAATGGCACGTTTGAAACCTTGCAAATAAACATGTTAACTAAGACGAAGGCCCTCACCATGACCTCTCCTGAAGGAAGCCCAAGCAAAGGGACTTGGGGCTGAACGGACAGGGGGGCAAGGAGCCCCGTCGGCGCAAATACAGATGTGACGAGCACCGTTGTACCTCACACCCACAGTTGTGATCGAAGGCAATCAACCACCGCCAAAACCGTACCTGTAGCTAGAGGTACCCGCCAGAACAAAATGGCATGTGAAGAACACCAACGTACCTGCGAACCAGCATACCAGCAGGAGGCCCCCAACGGCACAGAAGGACCCGCCGGCGCAAGAATACCTGTGACAAGCACCAGCTGAGACGAGAAATCCCCGTCGGCACAGAAATACATATGATGAGCACCACCGTACCTGTGAACCAACATAAAAATAGAATGAAGCCCGTGACGAGCACCACCATACCTGTGACACAAGTAACGGCAAGAGGTCCTCGCCGGCACAAGCATACACGTGACGAGCACCACCGTACCTGTGAAACCAAAATAACGGCTAGAAGTCCCCGTCGGCACACTGATACCTGTGACGAACCCCGCCGTATCTGTGATCTCATATTGTCGTCCTGACATCTGCCGCCCGCAACAGCAAACGCCAGTTCACCTCCTTCCGTCGTACTTCGCCCATGGGCCAGCCCAGGCGTCTCTGGAGAGCGTCCTTGGGGCGAGCGCCAGGCCGGTCCCGGAACGCCGCTCCTTAACACTCCCACACCACGTGGTCCGTCGTAGGCACAGCGCCTGCACACCACGGGCATTCCATCGCAGGGTCGTTGCCTTGGCCCGGCTCGAAGGCGGCAGGTGACACAACGCCTCCCGTGAGCACCGCCAAAGTAGACGGATGCTCCTGCACGCTGGCGATGACGGCTTTGAGGCGCTTCGCGTCGTAGCAGGCAGTCTGGCACGTGGCCAACCAGCTGCGGAACTTGTGATGCCGCCGCGCTTCCCGTATCACGTGGCCCAAGGCCTTGGGCGATTGAAACCTCGCAAGTCTCTGGGTGGCTGCGAAGTGTGTAGCTGTCGCCACTTTCGTGGGCTCCTGGGAGGAACGGCGGAATCGTGGAGGAAACGACCCATTTGAAACCTCGCAGCTCCCTGGGGTGCTGCGAAATGTGCAGCTATCGTTGCTTTGATGGTTCCAGGGAGGCACGGCGGACTCGGGGAGACAACGGAACATTTGAAACCTCGCAACTCCCTGCGCGGCCAAGATCTTTGCAACAATCGCTGCTTTCGTGGGCTCTCGGGAAGCACGGCGGATTCGGGGAGTAAGCGGACACATTTGAAACGTCGCAGCCCCCAGTGCGGCTGCGAACTGCGCAGCTGTCGCCGCTTTTGTCGGCTCCTGGGAGGCACGGCTGGGTCGTGGGGGAAACGGGCCCATTTGAAATCTTGTAACTCCCTGGGTGGTTGCGAACTGTGTAACCGTCGCCTCTTTCGTGGGCTCCTGGAAGGCACGGCGAGGTCGGGCATGTAAACGGGCTTAGCCGAGACCTCGTAGTTCCATGAGTGACTGCGAAATGGGCAAATGTCGCCACTTTCGCTGGCGCATGGGAGGTCCAGCGGGGTCGGGGGCCACACGCACCCAGACGAAGCCTCGCTGCTCCTTAGGTGGCTGCGAAACAACTGTCGCCACTTTCGTGGGCTCCTGGGAGGTCCAACGGAGTCGAGGGCCACGCGCACCCATTGGAGACCTCGCTGCCCCCCCTGGGTGGTTGCGATCTGTGCAACTGGCTCGCATGCAGCTGGCAGGCCCAGCGGAGTCGGGGCCACGCGCACCCATTTGAGACCTCGCTGATCATTGGGTGGCTGCGAATTGCGCAAGTGTTGCCACTTGCGTTGGCCTCTAGGATGTCCAACGGAATCGGGAATCAACGGGCCCAGCCGAGAACCCGCTGCTCCCTGGGAGGCTAATTACACGAGGCTACGGCATGCGAGTTGTCGCCACCTGCGTAGGCTCATGGGGGCACGGCGGAGATGAGGGCAGCGCAGATCGTGCATATCTGGCGATGGGTTCTTGCGTATAGAGCGTTCAGGCCAATATTCGCCTCGCGTGGAGAAGGGGTTGGGTACGTCTCGGGGTATTTGTTTTTTTTTTCTGCTTCTTCTGGCGATGGGATTTCTTCGTGAGGCACACGTGTACATGAGGATGCAATGCTTTGAGATCCTGCACCCCCGCCACGTGAGCGAGTATTGCCTGCTTCGAGTGTTCGGGGACCGTCTTAACTTTGGCGGTCGCCGTGCGCATCGTAGCCTGCAGCTGTACTAACGTCAGTGCTTGTTTGCGCAGCTGGTCCATCTGGTTGGAGGCCTTCAACTGTTCGCGACGATCGTGCATCCCCTTGCCTCTCTCGAGAAGAATCAGACGCAGCGGGTTCTCCTCGGGCAGCAGGCAGCACGTCCGCAGCGCTCCCCGACGGCGTCGCACAAAATTGTCCATCCCTCCAGCTGCCTTGGCAATCGATTTCGCCAGCTTTTCCGTCAGCGCGTCTAGGCCGTGCTTGCGCCCCGCGGCCCGCGATTTGGCCGGCGGACCACCGGCAGCAACCATCGCCTTTTCATCTGCCTGAGACAATAGGAGCCGTGGCACGTCGGTGTAATAGTAATGTGTGGCAACCACAAGGGACGGCTATGAGCGTAGTGGCAACGAGTATGAACGTAAAGTTCCGAAGTGGAGCGACCAACTCGCTGCAAAAAAAAAGGTCAAGCTACCCGGATCCTGGCGCGGTCCATCTCCACCTGCTGCGCCCCCTCGGCTCTTGTTGGCAGGCGTTCGCATTCAGGCGTTGATCCGTATGCCCGCGCCCCCACTGGGCGAGCAGCGACATATGTACATGTACGCCCTCCGCGATCTTGCCTGCACGAACGTCCGCGTTGACGCGCACTCCAGGGGAAGCCAACCGCGTACGTGTACACATGTTGCTGGCCTCTGACCCACTGTTCTCACACCGTATACATTGATTAATGATCATCGCTGTCCGTACGTCCATGAGCTCGAGCTTGGCGAACCCGTGGGGCCCGTGAGGTCTGGAAGTACACATTACAGGGTACCCCACTGGAGCCTACATGAGTACAAGGGCGAAGACCTGGAACCGCACTGGGTGGCGCTCGAATTCCCCCGTCTCCTCCACCACCTCCCCACGCATAGTTCAAATGGGACCTGGGGGGTCAGAATTTTTTTTCCCCATCGCCTCTGGGTCGAAGATGGTGAACCGGCTTTTCTCGCGCAACAGATCTTTGACCTCCTGACACAGTCGAACGAACACACTGAGGCCATCGCTGAACAACTTGATAAAAAAAGGGGTCAGCTGTATGTATTAGTCGGCCACGGCGGCTCAACTTGGCTTTGCCTCCAAGCATGCGCGTCAAGACCGTTGACGCTGCAACATGTCCATTCGGATGCGCACCCATGTCGGCCAGCCATCGAAGACGCCTCGAACGAAGCACACTGTGCACAATACGTTTGCGTGCATGATGCGGAATGCTGTCGTTTGTTTGCGCGTTGTATTTCTCCACCTTCCGCTCCTCGTTATACTCCTTATGACATGCATTACTCCGAAGAAGAACACGATCGGCTTCATGATGAACCTATCTTCCTGATATGCTACTGCCTGCGTCCATATCTGTGCCTCCTGTCCTGCATCAGTCAAGCCAAGCGCCAGGCAACGGCGCATCGGCAGGGAATCGAATTGAGCACGATTGGCTGAAATTTTCCAGGAAAACATATTTCTTGGACAACGCGACACTGCTGTAAATCTACAATCTGTGAAAGTCGGTCCACTGTTCGTACAATATTCGCCTCGAGGGCCTGCATGCATGCCACATGCAAGTGCCAGGAGAGGGGGAGGGGAGGGAGGCAAGCTAGGTGCGCTCGCGTCATATCTGACGTCCTACCCCTCCCTCCCATCCCTTACCATGGCGCTGATTTTCTCTATCCGCGGACGCGTGTCGTAGCGGACCTGTGGCTCCGCGCGCGCGTGCGTAGTGGGTGGTGGTGCGCGTGCGTGCGTGCGTGCGTGTGTGCGTGGTTGTGGTGGTGGTGGGTGGTGGTGGTGGTGGTGGTGGTGGTGGTGGTGGTGGTGGTGATGGTGGTGGTGGTGGTGTGGTGGTGGTGGTGGTGTGGTGGTGGTGTTGGTACTGGTGCTGGTGCTGGTGGTGGTGTGGTGGTGGTGGTGGTGGTGGTGGTGGCGGTGCGGCGCGGTGGTGGCGGGCGGATGGGCGCGCGAGAAAAAGGCCCGCGCTGGGGCGAGAACGCCATCCTGAACGACGGAGGCCAAACACCGATCCGAAAATGAGGCCCACGCTGCAGCGGGAGCACGATTCGGAACGATTCGGGAGCAGAAATGAGGCCGGCGCCTCAACGAGAGCAGCATTTTGGGAACAAATGACGCCGGCGCCTCAGCGAGAGTCGTTTCCCGGGATTTCCCGGGAATCCTGTGTAAAAAAACAGTACGCGGAGTGTGCGCGACCATCACCTGGACGCCATCAGGGGAAGAGGGAGAGTATTTTCATATTGAATAATTGTGGAGGGGGCGAGAAGGCAGCGAGAGACACAGAGGCTAACTGCATTAATTGTCGAGCGCTCTATGGACGCACTCAGCCCACTGCTGTTTAGGCCTCCCACGCCTTCGCCTGAAAACCCACCTTCGCGGCTCATTCGATTCAGGCTCGCAAGATATAGCCCTAAGGATGCTGCCGCGCGGAAGGGCGGCAACGGTATTGTACAGTTTTACCTGCTTTTTGGCCAGGATAACAATTTAAAATGCCTGTCCTGCCTTCTGGGAAATATCACTGCTTGATATTCTCGAAACGAAGGAGCAAGGTACCGATAGAACTTGACAAAGGCACTGGGTATGGAAACCATACGAACGGTGTTTGTCCGCCTTCAACCACCAGATGCAATCAATATTGTACAGAAGCTTTGGGAGAACAATTGCGCTTTACAGCTCCACCTTTCTATGTCTGATAATGTTGGCGTGCGACCAGCAAAGCTGCACGGCATGGAAAATACCCTGTGCCCCACCGATTCGTCGTGACACTTCTGGCTGCGCTGCCCCATTTGCTGTAACAAGCCCTTCGAGATATATTGTCGGCTCAGCTGTCTTTACAGGGCTCCCAAACGGAGCGTAGATAACGCCATTGTGTTTGATTCACAGGGCAACTGTTTTGCTCCAATTAAGTTCCAACCCGTACGGTGCTCCTTCTTTGATGACCGTGCCCAACAGTAGCTGCAGTTTGCTTGTCTCGCTGCTGGCGAGCATGATATCATCGGCATCTAATAAGTCTGTGGCAGCAATAAAATGCGGTTCTTGGACGCCCAGGCTCGCCTCTCCTGCAAGAGAGAGGTGTGCTGTAAACCATGCCGAGAAAAATCGTACATCGTACTCGGAGCTCAAGCCCGCCTGTCGCCCATAAACTCCCGAAGACAAGCCAGCCCAGTCGAGCAACAGCGTTTCGGGCCTCGAACTCTGGGCCCAATCAACATCAACATGATGAACACCTCCGTCTAACATAATCAATCGGGACACCTTGATGGGATTTAGTTTGCCTCCCAAAACACTGATCCATCTCCTGCCTAGCTCCTAGACCATATGCTCTGAACAAGATCTCTTTTTTTTATCTGCGTTCTGCTACAATCCCGTGGGTATCGACAAAGTCTCGGTAAGCTCTGTGGCTCACCGAGACCGTCGAGACACAAATGATGAAGCACCTGCAGCTGCGCCATTCGCTTCTGGAAAGACGGCCATGCGCTCCATGCCTTGGGCAGACGTCGCCCACGAGAGATGCAGTTCAACGCTTGTATGTGGTTCAATTGCAAGAAACATGCTCTGGCCACATTCTCGGCGATTTTGCTGGGTCCATGCAACAATACCTTTGTCGTATACGCCAGTAGGTTGATCGGGAGCAGCTGGGCCCCCTTGAAGGTTACCGGGAGGACCAGGAACACCCTCTCCCTCCGCCCATCCCTTCCCCCTCCTTCTCCGCCGCCTGCTCCCCCCTTTCGTCCTAGCTGCATAAGTGGAAGTGGGACGCACGTCCCCCCTGTCGTCCTCCTTGGTCCTCCTCCTCCTCCTCCTCCTCCCCTTCTCTTCTCTCGCGGGGCCTCCCTCTCCCCTCCCTCTCCCCCTTCCTCCCGCTGCTCCTGCTCTCCTCCTCTCTCCTGCCTTTGTCTCCTGCTCCTGCTCTTCCTCCTCCTCCTCATGCTCCTCCTCCTCCCCCCTCCTCCCCCGCGGCCCCGCTGGCCTTGGATCAGCTCCTCGTTCTCCCTCAGCTGGACGCGGATGCGCCCCCTCGCGACCTCTGCGCGCCCCCCCCAAAAAAAACCCTGGGGGCGCGGGCGCGGCGGAGGCGGAGGGGCCCCACCGCGCGCCAGACGTCGGACGGGGGCCTCGCTGCTCGGAGGAGCCGGGGGCTCTCGAAGGAAGACGACAGACGACGACGGACGACGAGGTCGACGACAACGACGACGACGGCAAACGACAACGGACGAAGACGGACGATGACGGACGATGACGACGAGGAAGACGACGACGACGGACCACGAGGTCGACGACGACGACTGACAACGACGACGACTGACAACGACGACGACGACGAAGACGACGGACGACGACGACGACGATAACGACGGCCGCCAACGGACGATGACGGACGACGAAGACGACGACGACGGACGACGACGAGGACGACGACGGCGGGCGACGACGACGACGACGACGGACGACGACGACGACGGACGACAACAGACGAAGACTGACGATGACGACGACGAGGACGACGGCGGACGACGACGGACAATGACGACGACAACGACGACCGACGGCGGCGGCGACGACGACGACGACGGACGACAACGGACGAACACGGGCGATGACGGACGACGACGACGACGAGGTCAACGACGACGACGACGACGGCGGACGACGACGACGACGACGACGGCGACGACGGCGACGACGAAGACGACGACGACGGACAACGACGACGACGACGACGGCGGCGGCGACGACGACGACGACGACGAAGACGACGACGGATGACGACAGACGAAGGCGGACGATGACGACGACGACGGCGACGGACGACGACGAAGACGGACGACGACGACGAAGACGACGACGACGACGAAGACAACGGACGACGACGACGACGACGGCGACGGCGACGACGGCCGACAACGGACGATGATGGACGATGACGACGACGACGACGACGGACGACGACAACGACGACGACGACGACGACGGCGGCGGTGACGACGACGACGAAGACGACGACGGCGGACAACGACGGCGACGACAACGACCGACGACGACGTCGGCGACGACGACGACGGACGATGACGGACGATGGCGACAACGACGACGATGACGGACGATGACGACAACGACGGCGGCTGCGACGACGACGACGAAGACAACGACGACGGACAACGACGACGACGACCGACGACGACGACGACAACGGACGATAGCGACGACGACGACGGACGACGACGACGACGACGATGACGGACAACGACGGACGATGAGCGACGATGACAACGACGACGACGACGACGGACGACGACGACGACGACGACTGGCGACCTCGACGACGACGACGACGACGGACCATATCGGACGACGACGACGACGACGACGGACGACAACGGACGACGACGCACGATAACGACGACGACGACGACGGATGACAACGACGACGACGGCGGCGGCGACGACGACGAAGACGACGACGATGACGACGACGGACAACAACGACGACGACGACGACGGCGACGACAACGACGACGACGACGACTGGCGACCTCGACGACGACGACGACCACGACCACGACCACGACACGACGACGACGACGAAGACGACGACGGCGACGAAGATGACGATGACGACGACGACTGGCGACCTCGACGACGACGACGACGACGGACGACGACAAACGACGACGGACGATGACGGACGACAGACGACGGACGACGACGACGACGACGACGGTGATGACTACGACGACGACGACAAAGACGACGACGACGTCGACAACGACGACGACAACGACGAAGACAACGACGCCGACGACCACGACCACGACCAGGACCCGACGACGACGATGACGGACGACGACGACGACGACGACGACGACGACGGTGGTGGCAGCGGCGACGACGACGTCGACAACGACGACGACGACCACGACGACCACAACGACGACGACGATACGAGGACGATGACGACAAAGACGACGACGACAAAGACGTCGACGTCGACTGAAGACGACGACGACGACGACGACGACGACGGACGACGACGACGACAGCGACGACGACGCGACGACGACGACGGCGGCGGTGACGACGACGACAACGACGACGATGACGACGACGACGACCACGACGACAGCGACGACCGACGACGACGACGTCCACGACGACGACGACGGACGGCAACGGACGACGATGACGACGACGAAGACGGACGACAACGGACGACGACGGACGATGATGGACGATGACAACGATGACGACGACGACGGACGACGACGACGATGACGGACGACGACGGCGGTGGCGACGTCGACACCGACGACGGACAACGACGACCACGACGACGACGCGGCGACGACGACGTCGACAACGACGACGGACAACGACGACCACGACGACGACAACGACTGTGACGATGACGACGACGACCACGACAAAGACCACGACGACGACAAAGACGACGACGAGGACGACGATTGGCGACCTCGACGACGACGACGACGACGACGACGGTGGCGACCACGACCAGGGCACGACAACGACGACGACAGCTGGCGACCTCGACGACGATGACGACGACGGACGACGACGGACGATGACGAACAATGGCGGACGACGGACGACGATGACGACCATAAAGACGGCGGCGGCGGCGACGACGGCGACGGCAACGACGACGACGACGACGATCACGACCTTGACGACGAAGACGACGACAAGGACGACGACGACAACGACGACGACGACGACCACGACCACGTCCACGACACGACGACGGCGACAACGACGGACGACGACGGCGGTGGCGGCGGCGACGATGATGTCGACAACGACGACGACGAGGACGACGACGGCGACCACCACCACGACCACGACAACGACGACGACGACGATACGACGACGACAAAGACGACGACGACAAAGAAGTCGACGACGACGACGACGACCACGACGACTACAACGGACGACGACGACGACGACGGACACTGACGACGGACGACGGACGACGGACGACGCTGGCGGCGGGGCGGGGCTGAGACCCGAAGACGCCCGAGCGCCGCGGATTTCCTGGATCTGCGCTGGCTCCCCGCGCCATGGAGGGGGGAAGGGGCAACGCAGATCCAAGCAATCCGCGCGGACCGCCGAGCATTAATGTTTGTACAATGTTTTGTTGTTGTTTTTTTGATTTGTTTCTTGTTTTCTGTGTTGTATTCGGTGTTGTTATTTTGTTTTTGTTGTTGTTGATGTTTATACAGCGTTTCTTCTTCGAGAACCCACGGGCGGCTGGCAGTGCCACGCGAGACTCCTGCAGGCCGTGGCGGGGCCGAGGGCTTGTCACGCAGCCTCGCATCTCACCGGGTGTGCGTGTAATTCGTGCCCGAGGCTGTGCCCGAAAATCTGCCCGGGTGTAGCCGAAACTGGAGCCCACACTTCTCCGAGCGGGCCATAGTGTGATCGATAGATTCGCGGCTCGACACCAAAGCGGCGGTTCTCAATCTCGGACGCAATCTGGGTCGCACCAAATTTTCCGTGGCAACTTCGGGCGCGTTTTCGGTCACCGTTTACTTTCGGTTGCATGCCTTTTCGGCTAATAGGGGCCAGGCGCCATGAGACTTGTCGTCTCTGCTTTTAAGTCGGGCGTGTCCCCCTACATGGGCGTTTTCGACGAAGAATAAAAAATAGTCCAAAAATACTACAACCTGGTCAAAAACTACCCGACAAATCGCCCCCAGAATATTTTTTGCCTATTTCTGAATACTCCTCCTGCAGAGGGACCGGCCCGACTTAACTGTGCTTTCTCACGGCGGCGCCAGCAAGTGCCCACCGAGGAGCGCTGCCGCCGTCGGAACAGTCGGCAGCCCAGCGGAAGCGAAGGCAGGCGTGCGCGCGCGCGAGGGGGGAGCGCTGGCCGAGGAGAGGGCGAGGAGAAAGGGAGAGGACGGGGACCTCCGTATCGGTCATCGATCCTCGACCCTCGACGTCGTCGTCGTCGTCCTTCTCCTCCTCCTCCTCCTCCTCCTCCTCCTCCTCTTCCTCCTCCTCCTCGATCCTCGATCCTCAGGGGATAGGGGGGGAGGGGAGGACACCGGGGGAATGCATGAGAACATCGGGCAAACAATCGCTGCACATATAATACATACATTTCGGAGGTCCGCGCAGGTTTCCTGGATCGGCGCTGGGCCCCCCTCCCTGGCGCGCGGAGCGCGCCAAGGGCGGCGCCGGAGGTGCCGCCAGGGGGGGCCAACGCAGATCCAAGAAATCCGCGCGGACCTCCATAAGTTTATGTGTCTGTTTCTGCTTCTTCTTCTTCTCCTTCTTCGTCGAGGGAGGTGAGGCCATCTTGGCGGCTCGCAGAGGGGGGTAAGGGAGGGGGGAAAGCTTCCTAGAATGACGCCGCTTCTTGGACGGCGCCGGCCCTGCATCTGTAGACAAGGGCCGCGCCCTCTGAGAACCAGGGGGGCTTTGAATAAGCCTTCCTCCCTCCCCCTACCCCCCTCTGCGCGTGGCCGAACATCAGGGGACGGCACGAGGAAAGAGGAGGGGGGAGGGGACGTCAGGAGGGAGGGGCGTGTGCGGAGGAGCAGCGTCGCAGGAGTCGACGGCACAAGGGCAGGGCGGCGCCCGGGCACCGCCGCAGCGGCGCGCGAGGTCCGTGGCGGGCGCGCTCTGCCGACGTGAGCTCCAATGAAGGGGCCCTGGGACACACAAATTCGCCGGCCCAACGGGCCAGGGCGTGCTAAGATCTCCGGTAACTGGTTAACAGTATTAACAGTATTTCTAGTTCGCGCGCGCGGGGCGGCCCCTGGGGGTCCCCCGGCGAAAAGTACCCCGACCAACGCCCGGTCGCCGCCCGACCGCCGCCCGACCAAGTCTACTCAGAGATGGTTTTCCTTCTGGGTGCGGCCTCTCAGGCTCCCCAGAGCGCGCTCAGAGTGCCCCAAGAGGCCCCCAAGACTGCCCAAGAGGCCCCCGAGACGCCCAAAGAGCGCTCGAAGACGCCGAAGATGACCCCAAGACGGCCCAAAAGGCCCCCAAGACAGCCCAAGAGGCCTCCAAGACGCCCCAAGAGCCTTCCAAGAGGCCTCCGAAGAGAGCCCCAAGAGGCCAAAATCGTTGATTTTCATTGGTTTTTTCGATGTTTTTTGTGTTCTGGCTTTTTCGGCTTCCGGACGCTCCAAGACGGCCCAAGAGGCCCCCAAGACCGCTCCAAGACGGCCCACGAAGCTCCCAAGACGGCGCCGAAACGACCCAAGAGAGCCCTCAAGACGGCCCAAGTGCCGCCCAAGACGGACCAAGAGGCCCCAAGACGGGCCCAAGAGGGACTCAGGAGGGATACCGAGAACTCAAAAATGGAGCCCTCCGTCCCAGAAGGCGCCCAGGAGGTCCCAAAGAGGCCCCAAGAGGCCTCCAAGAGGCCCCAAGATGTCGCCAAGAGGCCCCAGGAGACTCCCAGGAGGCCCAAAAGAAGCCCCAGAAGGCTTCAAACATGTCTCCCAGGCGCCCCCGAACGGCCTCTCAACAGACCCCAAGAGGCCCCCCAAAGAAGCATCTTGACGACGACTCTATTTCGCCCCATCGAGAGACGACCCCCAGGGAACTGCTTCACCATCAAAACTCCCCACGCAACGCGTCCGAACGACACCCGCCCCCACGAGCGCAACATGGGCAACGAACACACAGACAAAAACCAGCGATGCCATATCACGGGCCGGCGGAATGAGCGAAGCGATTCAATAAATGCACACAAATAAACAGATTCCCCATATTTTCCCATATTTTCTGGGTTTCTGTCTTCCCCCCACTGCCCATCTTTTCCCATATTTCCTGGGAATCGACGATTCATTGTGTCTGTGTGTTTTTCCCCCTCCTGATCCAACTGAGCGACGATCAGAAGCGGGCCTCGCGCGAGATATAATGCAGCGACCGTGCGCGCTGGCTCGCGCGGGCCGCCGGCGCTGCACGTCACACCTGGAGCGGGGGCGCTCACGCGCGACCTGACGCGAGCACCTCACGCGCGAGCGTCGGCGCAGACAACCCCGTCTTCCTACATCGCTCAATCGGCAACGGTCTCTCCAGCACTCTGGGGCCACGGGGCTGCGGTCGACTCCGGGAGGGCTCGAGCCGAGCTGGCGGAGTGGGCGCTTCCTCTGAGCCTCGTGCAGCCGATCCCTGTCCTCACAGGCGTGGCCTTGGCCCCGGGCCGCTCTGCGCCAACGTCGGTAAAGACAAGCCCGGTTTCCTGCGCCGCTCAAGAGGCGTCAGGCGTGATCTTCGTCGGGGAGGCCACGAGAGACTGTCGGCGACGGCTCGCGGGGGGGGGGGGTCGGCGGCTGCGCCGCCGCCCCCCCGCCGTGGCCGCTGTCGCCGTCGCAGCCGCCACCGCCGCCGCCGTCGCCAGCCATCGCCGCCGTCGCCGCCGCCGTCGCCACTGCTGTTCACCGACGACGTCGTCGTCGTCGTCGTCGTCGTCGTCGTCGTCGTCGTCATTCGCCGTCTGTTGAGGGGTTCGAGCGCTTCGAGGTTTACGGGCATTGTCGTGGGTTCCTCGAGGCTTCCCAACCTCTGGCTGCTCTCCCGCAGCTGCGCCTGGCCGAGGGCGTTCCGGGGCTGCCCGGATCGCCCCGAACGGCCGCCAGGGACCTCCGTTATGCTAGGGCTCCCAACTTCGCGCTTCGCGCTGCGCGAAGCGCGAAGCGCGAATAACTTCGCGCTCTCGCGCCGCCCTCCCAAAGGGAGAATAGGAGGACGAGGAGGAGGGGGAGAAGGAACGAGGACCGCGAAGCGCGAATAACTTCGCGCCCTCGAGGGAGCCCTTGGTTATGGCTCGAAAGCCACGCCTCCTCTCGTTGTGAAGAGATCACGACGGACGGCTTCGGCAATGTTCAGCCTCTGGGTGCCCTGAGCGGGCCCCGGGGCCGTGCGAGAACCGCCCGGGATGACACGCTAGTCCACCCTGACTTCAGATCCGCCTTCCGCCGAACTTTGGGCGATCTCGCAAGTAGGGCCGAGACTTCCGCCCTACTGCTCAAGCTCCCTAATTCGGATCTTCGCCCTACTCTGCCGTCGCTATTTCCGCCATGCCTTTGCGGGAATAACCGCCCTACTTTTCTGAGGCGGACGTTTCCGCCTTACTCTTTCGCATCGTGTGGAATAGATTTATGACACAACTTCAAGTAGGACAATCACTCAAAGTACGGCGCATCCGAAGCCAAGACCACTCCTGGGGACCCGCCCTTCATCCCGAGTCGTTGCTTGACGGGCCTCCTCTCGATGTCGAAAGTAACGAAGAAAGGCCGTCTTCATTTTTCAATACGAGGAGGAGGAAGAGGAGGAGGAGGAGCAGGAGGAGGATGAGGACGAGGAGGAGGAGGACGAGGAGGAGGCGGAGGAGGCGGAGGCGGAGAAGGAGAAGAGGAGTTGGAGGAGAAGGAGGAGGAGGTGGTGGAGGAGGAGGAGAATGGATATCTGGGAGCCCTCAGGGGCGTCGCCAACAACACCTCCGACACCGCTGGCCGCCGCAGCCGTGATCGCGGCGAGGCCCTCCGAAGCCTCTCCTGCGCCCGCCGGCTGGCCCCTGGAGGCTCCCAGCGATATGCATCGGCGCCTTCGGCGATGCGTTGGCGACGTCGACGTGGAGAACGTCGGGCCCCACATCGTTGCGCATCGGCGATGCATCGGCGATGCGGCGCGATCCATCGGCCATTTCTCCTTGGACCCCATCTTTTAGGAGGCCCGGAGCATCTCTTTTCAGGATCCTGGGGCCCCGGCGTCGCAATGTGTTCGACGAGCGCGTTCTCGACTGGTTTCGGGCCCCAGATCCTCACCGATGGATCCGGCTCGAAAGATGATGAAGTTTGGCGGCGCGCACGAGGGGGGATGTGGGAGGGGGGAAGGCTTCCCCCCTCTCCCTACCCCCTTGTGCGCGTGGCCGATGAGAAGCAGCTCGCGTGAAAACAACCATGAGGTGAAAAAAGGAAGGAGAAGGAAGAAAGAGGACCGAAGGAGGAGGATGAGGAGGAGGGCGGCGGCGGCGGCGGCGGAGGAGGAGGAGGAGGAGGAGGAAGGCGCCTCCCCGTCCTCTACCCCCTTGCGCGCATGGCAGATTTTTTCCCGCTATTGCACATTCCTCGCGCCGTCGGACTGCAGGGGACGTCGGCCCCCGAAGGCCTCGACCCCTCCCCCGGGACCGGCTCTTCGCCCCGGGTGACGTTCTGACGGCCTCAAGGCCTGGCGAGGGCCCCCATGAGGCCGGGAACGGCCAGCAAGTTTCGGCCGCGCTCTGTTCGCGACGCCAGCAGAGGAAGAACACGCTCCGTGAACGCACGCTTTCGAGGGACGGCCCGCGCGGATCTCTTTCGGATCTGCGCTGGACCGCCGGCGGTTCATGCTTGTGCAGTTGCTTCTTCTTCGACCCAGCAGGTGTGGGTCCGACCTCCTCCTCCTTTTCCTCCTCCCCTCCTCCTCACCATGCTAAGAGAGCGTGCTCTCCTCCCGCACCATCCCACCTCCTCCTCCTCCTCGCTCCTCCTCGCTCCCGCTCCTCCTCGCTCCTCCTCGCATCTCCTCCTCCTCCCCCTCGCTCCTTGCTCCTCGCTCCTCGCTCCTCCTCCTCATGATTTTTTCGCAACGTCGAGCCCAGCCGGTTTTTTATCCAGAGTGGTCTTTTGACGCTCCCGAGGCCCAATAGGGGGCCCCGAGAAGCCGAAAACGGCGAAAAACCTACTGCCGCGATTTTTCCACGACTCGAAGGGGTCTGGGTCCTCCTCCTCCTCCTCCTCCTCCTCCTCCTCCTCGCTCGCGACTCCCGCAGGTGTGGTTCCCGAGTCGCTTCCTGACGGTCCCAGAGCCCGGCGAGGGCCTCCAGCAGCCAAACACGGCATAAAACCTCCGTCCTGATTTCTTCACGACGCGATCATGTTGGGCGATTCCGGAAAGCCTGAAACCGAACACGTTTACATCTCTTGGGGGCACGCCTTCTACCTCCGCCGAGCTTCCGCCGGCTTCCGCCGCGGAAGAGATGACGCCTCTTCCTGCCCTCGCAGGCGAGGCCCGGTTTGGAACGCCCCGTGTCTGGGCCTCGCTCGCGGCGCCAGCACGTGTGGGCCCACAGGCCCTCCGACAGAGGGGGCCCCCTCCGGAGGCCCTCGCGGCCGCGCGCGGCGCTGCCGGCGGGCCGCGCAGGGGCGCGGGGGCCTCGGTCGCGGCCTCGCGCGCGCGCGCGTCGACGAGGCGCTGCTCTGCGTCCTGTCGGGGGGATCCAAGGCGCAAGACCCCAGACACCCTCGAGTCGTGAAAAAAATCGCGACGGGAGGTTTTTCGCTATTTTTGGCCTCTGGCGGCCCTTACTGGGCCTCGGGAGAATCAAAAACGACTCAGACTGAGTCACCGGTCCTGGGGAATGGGTCGAGACCTCTGGGGTCGACGCTGAAAAATATGATTTTCTCATTCAGCGCAACGAAGCTGTACACCAGTTGGCCTCCAAGCGCCGATGAGGCCGTGTTGAAATTGGCGGCGCGCCAAAGGGGGCAGGAGGAGTAAGGAAGCTTCGTAGAAGAAGGCTGCTTCTTAGAAGGCGCCGGTCTTGAAATTCAGCTCGCGTGAACACAACCATGAGAAGAAAAAGGAAGGAGGAGGAGGAAGTAAAAAGGAGGAAGCAGGAAGAGGAGGAGGAGGAGGAGGAGGAGGAGGAGGAGGAGGAGGAGGAGGAGTACGAGGAGGAGGAGAAGGAAGAGGAGGAGGAGACGGAAGAGGAGGAGGGGAGCGGTGGAGGGGGCGGTGGCGGCGGCGGCGGCGGCGGCGGCGGAGGAGGAGGAGGAGGAGGAGCGAGGAGGAGCGAAGAGGAGCGAAGAAGAGGAGGAGAAGAAGGAGGAGGAGAAGGATGGAGGAAGAGGAGGAGGAGGAGGAGGAGGAGGAGGAGGAGGAGGAGGAGAAGGAAGAGGAGGAGGAGGGGTCCTTTAGAAGCTATTGAGCACCCCTGGCAGGATCCAGCTAGGTCAGGTGAGGATGAGATCGAGATCCACGCCGACTGCAGCGCGCTGATCACAGGGTGCGCATTGTCGTTCAGAGCGCTAGATGGCACCTCGCAGCAGGCGGGGCACTGGCGCCAGATCCAGAAACTCGACAGAGAGTTCTGCATGCAAGGTGAAGGCCCGCCAGTCCATGATCCGTGGAGACCGAGAGTGGGCGGAGCACCTCCTTCTCATCGGGAATGCCTGGGCGGATATTTTGTGCCGTGAAGCTGCCAAAGTTTTTGCGGTCCCCCAGGACGCCCAGCATGAAAAGGAAACTCTGGACGGATGGTTTGCCGTTTTTAAGGCTGCGATTTCGATTTTCGAACTTTGGCCTCCTGCCAGAGAAATGCACGGGACCCTGTAGAAAGTCCGAGCCCCAAGGCCACCTTCCATAATACTGAGCGGCATAGTGCTCTGTGGAATGGACGGACGCTCGTTCAGGAACCCGCCAAGCAATTCGAAATGGTTCTCGTTTGCCCCCTCATTTGCGGTCAACAGTGGTCGAGCTCACCGCCTGTGGGCTGCCCCCATTGCCGACTCAGGACTTCCAGTTTTGTATAGTTCTCGCTGCGGGTCGTACTGCACAAAGACCCCCAGGCATCTCCTGGGGCCTTGCGCGCACATCAAGACCTCGCAGCTCAGAGAGTTCAGGCGAGGTCGCCTGCCCTGGCCAAAGGGCACAAGGCTCGGCCGCCCCTGGAGCGTCCTCCACAGCGCCGGTGGAGGGACGGGGCGGTGTGGGTCGGGGAAGGGATCTCGCAGCCTCTACCATCCGAGGGAAGGTCAGTGCACGAGAGGGTAGGCGAGCAAGGAATTGGCTGCCCTCCAGAGGCCCATGAATGAATGAATGAATGAATGCATGCATGCATGAATGAATGGCGAGGAGGAGCGAGGAAGGGCGAGGAGGAGGAAGAGACGGAGGAGGAAGAGGAGGAGGAGGAGGAGGAGGAGGGAATGGATGAGAAGATAAAAGGAGGAGGAGGAGGAGGAGGAAGAAGAGGAGGAGGGAATGGAGGAGGAGAAAAAGGAGGAGAAGGAGGAGGCTGAGGAGGAGGAGGAGGAGGAGAGAAGGGGGGGAGGGACGAGCAAGCTCCGACGGAAGGTCAACCCGCCCTTGATAAATGCGCCATCCATAGGATAGTGAATCCGCTTGTTCCTGGGCGGGGTGGGCTATCGGGCCCCTATCGGCGATGCGTGGGCGATCAAGGGTCAATGGGTCCCCTCCTGAGCCTACCCTTCCGTGATCCTCTCCTCCGGTTTTCGGATCATAGCTCGGCTCTCCGGCTACCGTGCGGGACGACTCTGCCATCCCCTGAGCGCTCTCGGCGAGGCGCAGCCGCTGGAAGGCGTCTCGAAGCTGGAAAACCGACGAGAACCAACGAAAACGTCCGAAAACATGAAAATGTCGAACCTCCCTTCCCTCCCGAGGTTGCCCTTCGAACCCCTCTTCTCTTGGACGCCCCCGATCCTGGCGGCGGCGCTCGGCGGCGTCGATGCCCCGAGCAGCCTCGGCGGCGGCGGCGGCCTCACAGGCGGGCGGGTCGGAGCCTTCGCTCGTTCGCTCGCCGGCCATGCAGGCCTGAGCTGGATCGGACCCAGACCTCCGACGAGGTGATTTTCTTCGACCACGGCTGTTCTCGGAAGGTCGCGTTGGTCCCTGGCGGCTTTCCCGCCTCAAGATGGCTTCCAGCAGTCGGACCCAGACCTCCGACGAGGTGATTTCCTTCAGCCACGGCTGTTCTCGGAAGGTCTCGTTGGTCCCTGACGGCCTTCCCGGCTCAAGATGGCTTCCAGCAGTCGGACCCAGACCTCCGACGAGGTGATTTCCTTCAGCCACGACTGTTCTCGGAAGGTCTCGTTGGTCCCTGACGGCCTTCCCGCCTCAAGATGGCTTCCAGCAGTCGGACCCAGACCTCCGACGAGGTGATTTCCTTCAGCCACGGCTGTTCTCGGAAGGTCTCATTGGTCCCTGACGGCCTTCCCGCCTCAAGATGGCTTCCAGCAGTCGGACCCAGACCTCCGACGAGGTGATTTCCTTCAGCCACGGCTGTTCTCGGAAGGTCTCGTTGGTCCCTGACGGCCTTCCCGCCTCAAGATGGCTTCCAGCAGTCGGACCCAAACCTCCGACGAGGTGATTTCCTTCAGCCACGGCTGTTCTCGGAAGGTCTCGTTGGTCCCTGACGGCCTTCCCGGCTCAAGATGGCTTCCAGCAGTCGGACCCAGACCTCCGACGAAGTGATTTCCTTCAGCCACGGCTGTTCTCGGAAGGTCTCGTTGGTCCCTGACGGCCTTCCCGCCTCAAGATGGCTTCCAGCAGTCGGACCCAGACCTCCGACGAGGTGATTTCCTTCAGCCACGGCTGTTCTCGGAAGGTCTCGTTGGTCCCTGACGGCCTTCCCGCCTCAAGATGGCTTCCAACAGTCGGACCCAGACCTCCGACGAGGCGATTTCCTTCAGCCACGGCTGTTCTCGGAAGGTCTCGTTGGTCCCTGACGGCCTTCCCGTCTCAAGATGGCTTCCAGCAGTCGGACCAAGACCTCCGACGAGGTGATTTCCTTCAGCCACGGCTGTTCTCGGAAGGTCTCGTTCGTCCCTGACGGCCTTCCCGCCTCAAGATGGCTTCCAGCAGTCGGACACAGAGACCTTCCGACGAGGTGATTTCCTTCAGCACGGTGTTCTCGGAGAAGGTATTCGTTAGGCCCTGACGGCCGTTCCCGCCTCAAGATGGCTTCCAGCAGTCGGACCCAAGACTCCGACGCGGTGCATTGCCCTCAGCACGGTGTTCTCGGAGGTGAGCTGTTGGTCAATGACGGCCATTCCCGCCTCAAAGATGGATTCCAGCCGTCTGACCCAGACCTCCGACACGAGGTTGATGGCTTCAGCCGCGGCTGTTCTCGGAAGGTCTCGTTGGTCCCTGACGGCCTTCCCGCCTCAAGATGGCTTCCAGCAGTCGGACCCAGACCTCCGACGCGGTGATTTCCTTCAGCCACGGCTGTTCTCGGAAGGTCTCTGACGGCCTTCCCGCCTCAAGATGGCTTCCAGCAGTCGGACCCAGACCTCCGACGAGATGATTTCCTTCAGCCACGGCTGTTCTCGGAAGGTCTCGTTGGTCCCTGACGGCCTTCCCGCCTCAAGATGGCTTCCAGCAGTCGAACCCAGACCTCCGACGAGGTGATTTCCTTCAGTCACGGCTGCTCTCGGAAGGTCTCGTTGGTCCCTGACGGCCTTTCCGCCTCAAGATGGCTTCCATCAGTCGGACCCAGACCTCCGACGAGGTGGTTTCCTTCAGCCACGGCTGTTCTCGGAAGGTCTCGTTGGTCCCTGACGGCCTTCCCGCCTCAAGATGGCTTCCAGCAGTCGGACCCGGACCTCCGACGAGTTGATTTCCTTCAGCCACGGCTGTTCTCGGAAGGTCTCGTTGGTCCCTGACGGCCTTCCCGCCTCAAGATGGCTTCCAACAGTCGGACCCAGACCTCCGACGAGGTGATTTCCTTCAGCCACGGCTGTTCTCGGAAGGTCTCGTTGGTCCCTGACGGCCTTCCCGCCTCAAGATGGCTTCCAGCAGTCGGACCAAGACCTCCGACGAGGTGATTTCCTTCAGCCACGGCTGTTCTCGGAAGGTCTCGTTCGTCCCTGACGGCCTTCCCGCCTCAAGATGGCTTCCAGCAGTCGGACACAGACCCCCGACGAGGTGATTTCCTTCAGCCACGGCTGTTCTCGGAAGGTCTCGTTGGTCCCTGACGGCCTTCCCGCCTCAAGATGGCTTCCAGCAGTCGGACCCAGACCTCCGACGAGGTGCTTTCCTTCAGCCACGGCTGTTATCGGAAGGTCTCGTTGGTCCCTGACGGCCTTCCCGCCTCAAGATGGCTTCCAGCAGTCGGACCCAGACCTCCGACGAGGCGATTTCCTTCACCCACGGCTGTTCTCGGAAGGTCACGTTGGTCCCTATCGGCTGTCCCGCCTCAAGATGGCTTCCAGAAGTGGGACCCAAACCTCCGACGAAGTGATTTCCTTCACCCACGGCTGTTCTCGGAAAGTCTCGTTGGTCCCTGACGGCTTTCCCGCCTCAAGATGGCTTCCAGAAGTGGGGCCCATACCTCCGGCGAGGTGATTTCCTTCACCCACGGCTGTTCTCGGAAGGTCTCGTTGGTCCCTGGCGGCTTTCCCGCCTCAAGATGGCTTCCAGAAGTGGGGCCCGGACCTCCGACGAGGTGATTTCCTTCGCCCGCGGCTGTTCTCGGATGGTCTCGTCGGTCCCTGACGGCTTTCCCGCCTCAAGATGGCGCCCAGAAGTGGTGCCCAGACCTCCGACGAGGTGATTTCCTTCACCCACGGCTGTTCTCGGAAGGTCTCGTTGGTCCCTGACGGCTTTCCCGCCTCAAGATGGCTTCCAGAAGTGGGGCCCAGACCTCCGACGAGGTGATTCCCTTCACCCACGGCTGTTCTCGGAAGGTCTCGTTGGTCCCTGACGGCTTTCCCGCCTCAAGATGGCTTCCAGAAGTGGGACCCAAACCTCCGACGAAGTGATTTCCTTCGCCCACGGCTGTTCTCGGAAGGTCTCGTTGGTCCCTGGCGGCTTTCCCGCCTCAAGATGGCTTCCAGAAGTGGGACCCAGACCTCCGACGAGGTGGTTTCCTCCACCCACGGCTGTTCTCGGAAGGTCTCGTTCGTCCCTGGCGGCTTTCCCGCCTCAAGATGGCTTCCAGAAGTGGGGCCCAGACCTCCGACGAGGTGATTTCCTTCACCCGCGGCTGTTCTCGGAAGGTCTCGTTGGTCCCTGACGGCTTTCCCACCTCAAGATGGCTTCCAGAAGTGGGACCCAGACCTCCGACGAAGTGATTTCCTTCACCCACGGCTGTTCCCGGAAGGTCTCGTTGGTCCCTGACGGCTTTCCCGCCTCAAGATGGCTTCCAGAAGTGGGGCGCAGACCTCCGACGAAGTGATTTCCTTCACCAGCGGCTGTTCTCGGAAGGTCTCGTTGGTCCCTGACGGCTTTCCCGCCTCAAGATGGCTTCCAGAAGCGGGGCCCAGACCTCCGACGAGATGATTTCCTTCGCCCGCGGCTGTTCTCGGAAGGTCTGACGGCTTTTCCGCCTCAAGATGGCTTCCAGAAATGGGGCCCATACCTCCGACGGAATGATCGCCTTCACCCGCGGCTGTTCTCGGAAGGTCTCGTTGGTCCCAGGCGGTTTTCCCGCCTCAAGATGGCTTCCAGAAGTGGGGCCCAGACCTCCGACGAGGTGGTTTCCTTCACCCGCGGCTGTTCTCGGAAGGTCTCGTTGGTCCCTGGCGGCTTTCCCGCCTCAAGATGGCTTCCGGCAGTCGGACCCAGACCTCCGACGAAGTGATTTCCTTCACCCGCGGCTGTTCTCGGAAGGTCTCGTTGGTCCCTGGCGGCTTTCCCGCCTCAAGATGGCTTCCAGAAGTGGGGCCCGGACCTCCGACGAGGTGGTTTCCTTCACCCACGGCTGTTCTCGGAAGGTCTCGCTGGCCCCCGGCGGCTTTCCCGCCTCAAGATGGCTTCCAGCAGTCGGACCCAGACCTCCGACGAGGTGATTTCCTTCACCCACGGCTGTTCTCGGAAGGTCTCGTTGGTCCCTGACGGCTTTCCCGCCTCAAGATGGCTTCCAGAAGTGGGACTCAGACCTCCGACGAGGTGATTGCCTTCACCCACGGCTGTTCTGGGAAGGTCTCGTTGGCCCCTGACGGCTTTCCCGCCTCAAGATGGCTTCCAGCAGTCGGACCCAGACCTCCGACGAGGTGATTTCCTTCACCCACGGTTGCTCTCGGAAGGCCTCGTTGGTCCCCGGCGGCTTTCCCGCCTCAGGATGGCTTCCAGCCAGTCGGACCCAGACCCCCGACGAGGTGATTTCCTTCAGCCACGGCTGTTCTCGGAAAGGGGGCAGTCTCGTTGGTCCCTGACGGCTTTCCCGCCTCAAGATGGCTTCCAGCAGTCGGACCCAGACCTCCGGCGATGTGATTTCCTTCACCCACGGCTGTTCTCGGAAGATCTCGTTGGTCCCTGGCGGCTTTCCCGCCTCAAGATGGCTTCCAGAAGTGGGACCCAGACCTCCGACGAGGTGATTTCCTTCAGCCACGGCTGTTCTCGGAAGGTCTCGTTGGTCCCCGACGGCTTTCCCGCCCCAAAATGGCTTCCAGAAATGGGGCCCAGACCTCCGACGAGGTGATTTCCTTCAGCCACGGCTGTTCTCGGAAGGTCTCGTTGGCCCCTGACGGCCTTCCCGCCTCAAGATGGCTTCCAGCAGTCGGACCCAGACCTCCGACGAGGTGATTTCCTTCACCCACGGCTGCTCTCGGAAGGTCTCGTTGGCCCCTGACGGCGTTCCCGCCTCAAGATGGCTTCCAGCAGTCGGACCCAGACCCCCGACGAGGTGATTTCCTTCAGCCACGGCTGTTCTCGGAAAGGGGAAAGTCTCGTTGGTCCCTGGCGGCTTTCCCGCGTCAAGATGGCTTCCAGCAGTCGGACCCAGACCTCCGACGAGGTGATTTCCTTCACCCGCGGCT